AGATATTAGGTGTGGCCTGAAGACAGTACCCGGTGACCCTGAAAGGCATTATGTCTAATTTGGAGATATTGTATGTGGCCTGAACGTAGTACCTGGCGACTATGGAGATATTAAGTTTAACTTGGAGATATTGGAAGTGGCCTGAACGTAGTACCTGGCGACTATGGAGATATTAAGTTTAATTTGGAGATATTGGATGTGGCCTGAACGTAGTACCTGCCGACTATGGGAATATTAAGTTTAATTTGGAGATATTGTATGTGGCCTGAACGTAGTACATGGCGACTATGGAGATATTAAGTTTAATTTGGAGATATTGGATGTGGCCTGAACGTAGTACCTGCCGACTATGGAGATATTAAGTTTAATTTGGAGATATTGTATGTGGCCTGAACGTAGTACCTGCCGACTATGGGAATATTAAGTTTAATTTGGAGATATTGTATGTGGCCTGAACGTAGTACATGGCGACTATGGAGATATTAAGTTTAATTTGGAGATATTGGATGTGGCCTGAACGTAGTACATGGCGACTATGGAGATATTAAGTTTAATTTGGAGATATTGTATGTGGCCTGAACGTAGTACATGGCGACTATGGAGATATTAAGTTTAATTTGGAGATATTGGATGTGGCCTGAACGTAGTACCTGCCGACTATGGGAATATTAAGTTTAATTTGGAGATATTGTATGTGGCCTGAACGTAGTACCTGGCGACTATGGAGATATTAAGTTTAATTTGGAGATATTGGTTGTGGCCTGAACGTAGTACCTGGCGACTATGGGAATATTAAGTTTAATTTGGAGATATTGGATTTGGCCTGAACGTAGTACCTGGCGACTATGGAGATATTAAGTTTAATTTGGAGATATTGGGTGTGGCCTGAACGTAGTACCTGGAGACTATGGGAATATTAAGTTTAATTTGGAGATATTGGATTTGGCCTGAACGTAGTACATGGCGACTATGGAGATATTAAGTCTAATTTGGAGATATTGTATGTGGCCTGAACGTAGTACCTGGAGACTATGGGAATATTAAGTTTAATTTGGAGATATTGGATTTGGCCTGAACGTAGTACATGGCGACTATGGAGATATTAAGTCTAATTTGGAGATATTGTATGTGGCCTGAACGTAGAACCTGGCGACTGTGGAGATATTAAGTCTAATTTGTAGATAATGGGTGTGGCCTGAACGTAGTACCTGGCGACTATGGAGATATTAAGTTTAATTTGGAGATATTGGGTGTGGCCTGAACGTAGTACCTGGAGACTATTGGAATATTAAGTTTAATTTGGAGATATTGGATTTGGCCTGAACGTAGTACATGGCGACTATGGAGATATTAAGTTTAATTTGGAGATATTGGATGTGGCCTGAACGTAGTACCTGCCGACTATGGGAATATTAAGTTTAATTTGGAGATATTGTATGTGGCCTGAACGTAGTACATGGCGACTATGGAGATATTAAGTTTAATTTGGAGATATTGGATGTGGCCTGAACGTAGTACCTGGCGACTATGGAGATATTAAGTTTAATTTGGAGATATTGTATGTGGCCTGAACGTAGTACATGGCGACTATGGAGATATTAAGTTTAATTTGGAGATATTGGATGTGGCCTGAACGTAGTACCTGCCGACTATGGAGATATTAAGTTTAATTTGGAGATATTGGATGTGGCCTGAACGTAGTACCTGCCGACTATGGGAATATTAAGTTTAATTTGGAGATATTGTATGTGGCCTGAACGTAGTACCTGCCGACTATGGAGATATTAAGTTTAATTTGGAGATATTGGATGTGGCCTGAACGTAGTACATGGCGACTATGGAGATATTAAGTTTAATTTGGAGATATTGTATGTGGCCTGAACGTAGTACCTGGCGACTATGGAGATATTAAGTTTAATTTGGAGATATTGGTTGTGGCCTGAACGTAGTACCTGGCGACTATGGGAATATTAAGTTTAATTTGGAGATATTGGATTTGGCCTGAACGTAGTACCTGGCGACTATGGAGATATTAAGTTTAATTTGGAGATATTGTATGTGGCCTGAACGTAGTACCTGGCGACTATGGGAATATTAAGTTTAATTTGGAGATATTGGATTTGGCCTGAACGTAGTACATGGCGACTATGGAGATATTAAGTTTAATTTGGAGATATTGGGTGTGGCCTGAACGTAGTACCTGGAGACTATGGGAATATTAAGTTTAATTTGGAGATATTGGATTTGGCCTGAACGTAGTACATGGCGACTATGGAGATATTAAGTCTAATTTGGAGATATTGGATGTGGCCTGAACGTAGTACCTGGAGACTATGGGAATATTAAGTTTAATTTGGAGATATTGGATTTGGCCTGAACGTAGTACATGGCGACTATGGAGATATTAAGTCTAATTTGGAGATATTGTATGTGGCCTGAACGTAGAACCTGGCGACTGTGGAGATATTAAGTCTAATTTGTAGATAATGGGTGTGGCCTGAACGTAGTACCTGGCGACTATGGAGATATTAAGTTTAATTTGGAGATATTGGGTGTGGCCTGAACGTAGTACCTGGAGACTATGGGAATATTAAGTTTAATTTGGAGATATTGGATTTGGCCTGAACGTAGTACATGGCGACTATGGAGATATTAAGTTTAATTTGGAGATATTGGATGTGGCCTGAACGTAGTACCTGCCGACTATGGGAATATTAAGTTTAATATGGAGATATTGTATGTGGCCTGAACGTAGTACATGGCGACTATGGAGATATTAAGTTTAATTTGGAGATATTGGATGTGGCCTGAACGTAGTACCTGGCGACTATGGAGATATTAAGTTTAATTTGGAGATATTGTATGTGGCCTGAACGTAGTACATGGCGACTATGGAGATATTAAGTTTAATTTGGAGATATTGGATGTGGCCTGAACGTAGTACCTGCCGACTATGGAGATATTAAGTTTAATTTGGAGATATTGGATGTGGCCTGAACGTAGTACCTGCCGACTATGGAATATTAAGTTTAATTTGGAGATATTGTATGTGGCCTGAACGTAGTACCTGGCGACTATGGAGATATTAAGTTTAATTTGGAGATATTGGATGTGGCCTGAACGTAGTACATGGCGACTATGGAGATATTAAGTTTAATTTGGAGATATTGTATGTGGCCTGAACGTAGTACCTGGCGACTATGGAGATATTAAGTTTAATTTGGAGATATTGGTTGTGGCCTGAACGTAGTACCTGGCGACTATGGGGAATATTAAGTTTAATTTGGAGATATTGGATTTGGCCTGAACGTAGTACCTGGCGACTATGGAGATATTAAGTTTAATTTGGAGATATTGGGTGTGGCCTGAACGTAGTACCTGGAGACTATGGGAATATTAAGTTTAATTTGGAGATATTGGATTTGGCCTGAACGTAGTACATGGCGACTATGGAGATATTAAGTCTAATTTGGAGATATTGGATGTGGCCTGAACGTAGTACCTGGAGACTATGGGAATATTAAGTTTAATTTGGAGATATTGGATTTGGCCTGAACGTAGTACATGGCGACTATGGAGATATTAAGTCTAATTTGGAGATATTGTATGTGGCCTGAACGTAGAACCTGGCGACTGTGGAGATATTAAGTCTAATTTGTAGATAATGGGTGTGGCCTGAACGTAGTACCTGCCGACTGTGGAGATATTAAGTCTAATTTGGAGATATTGGGTGTGGCCTGAACGTAGTACCTGGAGACTATGGGAATATTAAGTTTAATTTGGAGATATTGGTTGTGGCCTGAACGTAGTAGCTGGCGACTATGGAGATATTAAGTCTAATTTGGAGATATTGGGTGTGGCCTGAACGTAGTACCTGTCGACTATGGAGATATTAAGTCTAATTTGGAGATATTGGGTGTGGCCTGAACGTAGTACCTGGAGACTGTGGAGATATTAAGTCTAATTTGGAGATATTGGATGTGGCCTGAACGTAGTACCTGTCGACTGTGGAGATACTAAGTCGAACGTCTAGATATAGGGTGTGGCCTCTGGTTAGACCCGGTGACCACGAATATATTAAGTCGAACATCGAGATATAAGATGTGGCCTCTGGTTAGTACTTGGTGACCATGGAAATATTAAGTCGAACATCGACATATATTGTGTGGCCTCTAGTTAGTACGCGCTGACCATGAAGATATTAAGCCGAACATCGAGATATAGGATGTGGCCTCCGGTAAGTACCTAGTGACCATAGATATATTAAGTCGAACATCGAGATATAGATTTTGGCTTCCCGTTAGTACCTGGTGACCATGGAGATATTAAGGCGAACATCGCGATATAGGGTTTGGCCTCCGGTTAGTACCTGATGACCATGGAGATATTAAGTCGAACATCGAGATATAGGGTTTGGCCTCCCGTTAGTACCTGGTGAACATGGAGATATCAAGTCGAACATCGAGATATAGGGTGAGGCCTCCGGTTAGTACCTGATGACCATGGAGATATTAAGTCGAACATCGAGATATAGGGTGTGGCCATATTAGTACCTGTTGACTGACCATTTGAATACTTAGTGTCGCCTCCAGATACATAGTGTTGACTCAGATATCGTACGTGACCTCCACATATGTGTGACCTCCAGTTATTGGGTGTGACCTCCATATATTAACTTGTGACTATGTCACAGCAACCAAATATAATAAACTGCACCCGGCATATTCCATTACCGCATGGACCCAACCGGCAGCGGCAGAGCATTGTTTTACTTTCAACTGAATTCGAATTTCCACATACAATTTTGTAAAAATATATTTTATTCAAAAGAAGTAACCAATTCACACTGAACAACATTTAAGGTTTGCGACTGCTCAAAGTTATGATATGTTAATAATTAGAGTTACGTGAACTAGTTAATATTAGGGTAATATTAATGATTACTCAAGGCCGTTATTCAATGAGACCAGCCAGTCGAATGTGTTACCAGACGAAACGATTTAGATAAAACAGTTATTCACAAAAGTAACAGTCTTTTGCTTTCTGCTCAACACAGGGTTCCGATTCAGGGGGGCGCTGCGTGAACGATCGATCCTTGGTGTCCATGTACTGAGGCATATCGAATGTTGACGTTCTGTCAAAATAGTTCCATGGTTTCCATGGCCTGTCGTTGGCCCAATTGTCATCGGAACATCTTCTGATGTTGGTATGTGTAAAAAGCCAACTACAACCCATGTGACCAGATCTGTTTTGACGATTGGTTCATTGTTGATGTAGTTGTCAATGGATACCATCGGATCAGCCAACCGGTTAAGGTCGTAGGTTCCAGTAAGAAACCTTTCAGCATCATCCTGTTTGGTTACAACGCAGTGGTACTTTGTGTACGATGTTGCTTTCATACTGGGATGTTGGTCAGTAAGAACCTGTGCAGCCAAGGTTTCGGGTGCAATTCTATACCCCCTTTTCACTCCCCACTTGTTCTTATTTTCACTCATCACTGTCCAGAATTCAGGATGGTTTAAGTCGATCTTCAGACCAGCTTCCGTTGCAAGGGTTTCCCATTCCACATAACGTGTTTCGTTATAAAGGAAATACGAAGGCTTCTCAGTGACATTTGCTTGTGTCTTCAGGGCTGTAGCTACATCTCCAGCTTTCCATTTAATGATGTCAAAGCTGTTTTCTGTTCCCAGTATGTCCATATCAACCTTGAAGCCAAACGTATGATCATGAATAGCACCGTGAACATAATCTCCAACTCGGTAGCCAAATGCATCAATTGCTTTGTCCTGTCCAGCACGGGGGTTTTCCGGGTCCCAGAAGCTGGACTGCAGATACCCAGAAGCAGATGCATCTGTTTTGAGGCTACCATCAAGGAAAAAAAGAAAGTCAATAGTATAGTCATAGTTCCCAACAGGCAATGCAGTCCTGACCACCAGAAAATTGTTTGCCATTCCTGCAGCAAATTTGTCCTTTCTTCTCCACAGTGAATGCTCACCAGCTGTTTCAAATACACAAATTGCATTAGCTGAAATAGGCGACTGACTGTAGCTGTCAAACCAAGCAGCATCTAAGAGGGTGGCGTGATGAGGACAGTCCACACCGGGTATGAGACTCTGGAACTCTCCGACACCGAAAGTGGCATCCATATAGATGGTATTTGCTCCAGAGGTCACGTCAGATGCGTAAGCTAATGTTACATCGTTGAGCGAATTCTCATATACAATCCTTTCACCCTTGAATTTAACGTCATAGACACTGGGACCGCGAAACTGGCTACTACCAACAACGAATTCCCAGTCCATCCATTTCACTGCGTGGTCGTGGATTGAATAACGTTGACCAGAGGGATAATAGGACCTGGGTGGGGCTTTGTCGGAGGACTCCCTGTGTTTGTCATTGTTTTGTTTAGGATAAGTAGTTGAGAACAGCGTTTGGCGGTAACCTCTTGGCAGTGCAACTTTCCTGAGTGTTCCGTTGTTGTAGGCAGACAGAAGAGCTTCGGCTGTGGGAAAAGGTCCTTGGTCTAAATAGTACAGACTGTGGGCGTACCAGGTATTGGTATTCACTCCTGGGTTGTGAACTGTTCCGGTGAGGGGTAAGAAGTTCAGATCACGTCCTCGCGCCGTTCCATCTACAATAAAGGCCATCACAAACCTTGTTCCTCTCTCATTTGCTTGAAGGCTTGGTGGAGCTTGTGGATGAAAGACCAATCCTCCATTGGGATAGAAGGCTCCGTCGAAACTTTCTTGCAGCAATGGACGTAAAGTGGCCATAGCAAGAGACACCGTCGCAGTGATTCCATCCCACTCAATGCCATCTCTTGGTCGACTATTGTAAGGCAGTTCTCCATCTCTGTACATAGCCTGAGCTGTCATAGCACCGCCAAGAGGTCCGACCCTGTACTCCATCAAGTCTGGGACAGCTCTATTGCCTCTGTGAACATGGACATCTGCGTATCTGCCTGGATTTGGACCTCCTTTGTCGAGGTGGTTCAAGGCCTGTGATTTATATGGAGCGTAGAGAGACATTCCATAAATATAGCTATCCTTCAGAGTAGGAGTCCCTTCAGTTATTGAGACATGGCCTTGAGCCTTAAGAAAATTCTTAACTGCGTTCATTTCGTCTTTAGACAATAATTCAAACATCCCCTTGTCTTCTGATTTACTGGATCGGGTGGGACTTTTATCTGCAGGGCACGATGGAATGGATGTTTTGTTTGTTGCAGGTTGAACCACAGGTCTTGGAGTTGTTACCACCGCCGGGGCAACAGAGGCCACACCATTGAGGCATTGATCACCATCTGTTGGCTTGATTGCATATACGCCAATAATGACTCCAATTCCCAAGCCAATGGCGAAAATAATTACTCCTGATACTTGGTGGCACAGTGTGCTCTTGAATGTTGTGGAATCTGTTGAATCCTTAGCTCCCCTTTCAACACTATACGTGTTGTTTGCCGTCATCTTGGGGAATCTAATGTAGGAAAGAGAAACAATTATATAAGAAATGAGTGAGTTTAGTTTTACACCGCACTCAGCAATATTCCAGCTATCTGGCGGCGGTCTGTAAATAATCGAGTATGGACCAGACAATCCAGTGATAAAGAATATGAGCATCGATCTACGCAATTGGGATACGATGACATGTGATAACAAAGTCAGCGAGCTTGACCCCCCGATCCCGTTAGTCGCCCTTTACGACAAGTATGGCGTACTGAAGATGCATTCTAACCCGGATCTTCACGGGTCCAATATAACAAAAACATCCTCAAGAACATGCTCGCGTATTTTTTCATCAGTATTTTTATCTGTAAATACCGGAGGACGTCTTATAACATCAGTATGTGACTATTTGAAATGGTAGAATTTAGGGGCCGTTAATAATTTATGGCTTCGGTGTGGGGTGATGGTTTTTATGGAGAAGCATGTACAATGCGAATGCCTTCCCCTAAGATGTATAAAGCAAGTGACCCCTGCATGTCATGTACAAAATCAATGAACCCTTCCTTCCCATAATGTATAAGCATAATGTTTTAATGTTTCTATGTACAAAGTTACTGGCCCCCTAGTATTTGGTTACACCTTAAATACCCAGAACAAAATGGGTTACCCCTTTAAATCATCAAAAACACACACACACACACACACACATATATATTATGAGTGGTCCTTTATGGACGTGAACCTTTCGTTAATATTGTTATGAAATTTTTAAAAAAATGTTTCGTATTTTAGTTGAATAATTGCTTCCAAAATACAACTCAAAGATAGCACATTTTAGTTGGTTCAACTGACTTATCTACATTATTATGGGACATTTTCAAGAACAGGTTTGCCTGACGGATCGGGTGCATTTCATGATTCAAGATTAAGTGAAAAGAAATTATTACATAATAAAAAGGAAGAAAATCGTTAGTTCTTTTTCATTTTTGGGTTTGTACCGAATCTCGGCTTACTCGAAGTATTGAAGACGGTCCCTTCGAATGTGACTGCATAGTTACTAGTGTTAGCCAAATGGCATTACTACCGGTAACCTCCTTTCTCTCTGATTCTGTACATAAAACAGTTAATAGTTTTAACCAAGGAACGCAATATTTATGAAACAATATTCAATATTTTTTCATGTAGCATATTGTTACTGTAGAAATTGCAGCGAAATCATTGAAAGAATACGTTATTATTTGAGAATTATTACATTATAATTAACACTATAGAGAAAGTAGAAGTGTAGTGCACAATATATCAATATCGATAAGACAAAGGTCATAGTTTTCAAAAGTGGAGGGAAATTAGCAAAACGGGAAAAATGGTTTATAAAGGTGAAAAATTGGAGGTTGTAAGAAGTTACAAATACTTGGGTGTACTTTTTTACAAATCGACTAACTTGGTCATTGCACTGCAACAAAGCCGCACTACAGGCTAAAAAGACTTTTAATAGGCATTTTAAGAAACCATAAGACCGATCCTAAATATTAGCTTTGACAGCTTTCTCAAGATCTTTGACACTAAGATTTGTCCTATTCTACTGTATGGTGCAGAAGTATGGGGCCAAGAAATCTATGACACATTAGAGAAGGTACATCTATATGCGTGCAAAAGATTTTTAGGAGTAAACTCCAACACCCCAAATGTTACAGTTTATGGGGAATGTGGGAGATACCCTATGTACATGTATATATTTTGTTACATAAAAGTAATAAAATATTGGATAAGATTGCTTAAAATGCCCAGCACCAGATTCCCCCAAAAATGTTATAACATGATGATGCTTTACGATGATAGATGTAAGAATAACTGGACCTCTGGTGTCAGAAAGATACTTCAGTCTTGCGGCTATGATTATATCTGGAGAGAACAAAATGTAACAGCACCAGTGCATTTTATATATCAATCAATCAATCAATCAATCAATCAATCAATCTGTATTTCTTGTAGTGGAGGCCACAGGCCCATTCTACATTTACAATTGACTATGAGAGAGTATATACAATATACAATATGAACAATAACATACGGTTTGGTTATGTTACAATATGTACAAATGACTGTCTAAGACGCATAGCTTTATATACATACACTGCTAGATTTGTTAAAGTTTCTGGATTTATCTCTGGCATTAACATGTTAAATTATGTACAGTAGGATTCAAATAATATTTCTTTGGCAAAAGTAAAGACCTTAGATCTTTGTATACATTACATATTAATAAAAAATGGTATTCATCTTCAATATATCGTTCTTTGCATACAAGACATAATCTATCAACTTTAGTTTCATTAGCATATCTGCCAGTTTCAATCTGAAGCCGGTGTGAAAAACATCTTAATTGAGCAAACGCAGCCCTGAATTTTGAAATAGTGAGTTCTTTGATATACAATTCTGAGACAAATTCTGATTTAAACGAAATATATGTTCACTATTTAGTGCTGCTATCGAGGGCTACATGCCAATCTTGCTCATAATATACTATAAGTCTGTATACAAACCCCGACATAAAATTTCTAACACCAACTACACATTGTTCCTCCCAAAGATGGGGCGGTGGGGTAGCCTAATGGTTAAAGCGTTGGCTCGTCACGCCGAAGACCCGGGTTCGAATCCCCACATGGGCACAATGTGTGAAGCCCATTTCTAGTGTCCCCCGCCGTGATGTTGCTGGAATATTGCTAAAAACGGCGTAAAACCCAACTCAGTCAGTCAGTCCTCCCAAAGATAGCCAAATCCATACATGTAGAAAATATGTTTGATTATAGCGGCCCAGTTACTTTTCCCCTTGATACAATCTAGAACTATCAATCAATCTTTATTTTCTTTGTAGTGGAGGCCATAGGCCCAGGCTACACTTCAGGATTTCAGAGCGGTACATATGTGCATATATAGTTCAGAAGACAATAAGTTAATTTACAAAGTATACAAAAGGAAATATGATATTATTGGCATAGAAGTGAATCTCTAAGTTTCATTGCATTGTGTATATAAATAGCTAGGTTTTTTACAATATATGGATTGCCAGTTGACATGAGCATATTAAACTTATGAATAGTGGGATTCGAATAAAACTTATGTGGTAAATGCAAACATCTCATATTTTGATAACATTTACATACCAAAATAAAATGAAATTCATTTTCAATAAAGTTATCTTTACATACAAAACATAATCTAATTGATCTGGGTTCATTAATATATCGGCCGGTTTCAATTTGGAGGCGGTGTGAAGAACATCTGAATTTAGCAAGGGCCGATCGGAATTTTGAAATTGATAAATCTTTTATGTAAAATTCAACATTAAATGAGATATTAAAACAAGAATAAAGTGAACATTTAGGACTATTGACAAGCGATGTGTGCCATTCTTGTTCATAACTTGCTCTTAGTCTAAAAACAAATTCTGATATGAATTCATCGACATTACATAAATTTTGCAACCGCCTCCGTGCCGCTCGGCATTAATGAGTACAACAAGGACTGGTCGACTCGGAGTCAGTATAATGTGTCTGAGTTGGGTATTCATGCTTCACTGCGGCATGGTATCTCAGTGGGCTAGCACTATAAAAGTCTGGGCTAGTACAAGCAGCCGCACATACACATACACACGCATGCACGTCGTCATATGAGCGAAATATTCTCAAGTACGACGTAAAACCCAATTTCACCTCACCTCACCTCACCTCACCTCACCTTCACCACCTCACCTCACCTCACCTAAATTTTGCTGCTGTTCCCACATAAAGCCAAATCCAAAAGAGCAAAGAATATTCTTAATTTTTGATGCCCAGTTGTTTTACCATTTACAGAGTCTAAAACTAACATATTATAACATTTCTTTACAAATCTGGAATCGGGCATTTTGCATATTTTACACCAATATTTAACAATTTTTTTGATATATACATATATACATTGGATAACGGCCACATTCTCCCCTAACTACATGGTTCGAAGTCGACCGTTTGACATTTAAATACCGTTTACAACAAAACATATGTACAACTTCGACTTCTTTAAAGTTATCAGGGGCGGTGGGGTAGCCTAATGGTTAAAGCGTTGGCTCGTCACGCCGAAGACCCGGATTCGAATCCCCACATGGACACAAAGTGTGAAGCCCCTTTCTGGTGTCCCCCGCCGTGATGTTGCTGGAATATTGCTAAAAGCGGCGTAAAACCAAACTCAGTCAGTCAGTTAAAGTTATCAACTCCCCATATTTCAGCTCCATATAAAAAATCGGACTAATTTTTGTATCAAATATCTTAAAAAATAAATCATATGGAAGTGGATTAAACGTAAAAAGAGATTTTAGAATGTCATATGCAATTTTCTTGGCTTGCAAAGCAGCGCAAATAAAATACCCAAATAAAGATGAAACAGTTTCCAAATGAATTCCATTGAAATGCCATTTTTAATATTTTGATAATTTACAACCATTTTTAAAATATAACAATCTTGGTCTTCTCCAAGTTAACAGTTAATTGATGACTTTTACAGAAACTTTCTAAAATATTTATACGTTTTGGTAAACCAAATACAGAGTCTGCAAAAAGTACATATCATCAGCAAAAAGTAGTAGGAACATTTGTACAATATCAGGGTGAAGCTGTATACCTGGGTAACATGTGGATTCAATATCTAGAGCCAATTCATTAATAAAGAATGAGAGCAATAGCGGGCTTAAAACATACCCTTGTCGCAAACCCTTTGGACAATCAAACAATCTAGAACTAATAACTTATAAATAACATTTTTTCACAAATCTCGTATCAGACATATTGCATATTTTACACCAGTAGGCAACGGCCCTTTCATAAGTAAAAATATACATTGGATAACGTCCACATTCTCCTCTGACAACATGGTTCGACGTTGAGGATTTAACCCCCAGCAATCGTTTACATGCAAACATTTGTAAAATTTCAACTTCTTTATAATTATCTAAGCCCCATATTTCTGAACCATAGAGGAAAATG